TTTATTATATTTTTATATTATTGCTTTTAAAGTAAATATATTCTTTCTATATAGCAAAATCATAATTTATAAGTTTTATTTAGAGGTTAAGTACATAGTTTACACTTGTTTATTTCATAAGGTTGTCAATAATTTGATAATCTCTGAAATCAACACGCATGCTCAACTCTTACGTTACGGACATTTATAAATAGACTTTATTTTTATATCTTAGGTTAAGTTTCTACGGCGTTAAGTTAAGTTACGTTACGGTGGTTATAAATTATACTTTATAGGTAAACACCTCTTTATTTTAGGTTAGTTTTACAAGTATTAGAAATTAAAAATTTTAAAAAATCGACTTCAAAAACGTGCAGATGCCATTACCACATCTTAACCAAATTTATATGGGACCGCCCCTGAGGTACCCCCTCACTAAAAAAAAAAGAATCATATAAATCGGACAAGGTGGTAAAGCATTATCGCTAAACATACATAAAAAATGAAGAGTTTGAGGATTTTCTCATGGACCCAATTATTAGATTTTGACCAAATTTATATGGGACGACCCCTGAAGTAGCCCCTTTCTAACAAAAGAGAAATATTGAAATCGGACACCTTGTTAAGAAATTATAGCTGAACATCATAGAAATAGTATAGAAAGCCGATTCCATATATCAAAAATGAAACCGTAAGGAGAAAATAGTGTGTCGGAGCTCATGCGTATAACGGTGCTGGCTCGAACAGGACCGGTGCAAGTTTTTTATTGATCGAACAAATAGTTCAAACCATGTTTTATTCATACATTTTTAGAGATGATTCTATGTAAAAAACGATGAAAAAAATTCAAGTAAGATAAATATGTTTCTGAAAGAAAAATATGGCATGAAAAATGAATTGGTTAATTTTCAGAAATCATTAGTGCTGCAGTCACGAGATTTTGCTTGTGATTTGACATCTTATTTGATTTAGTATCATTTGCTACAAGTAAATTTAATTTAAGTAGTGCAAAATAGGGGGCAGTTGCGTTTCGCCCAGGAATATTATGTTCGATATTTTTTTTACATTTTGTCAGCCAAGACTGTGAGTCGTTACTTACAATTAGACAAAAAACCTTTCATGTTACCATTTTCAATATAAATTATCCAAATATGTCTGCATCTCTCAAGATTCAAAATTAAAAAATACTACTACATTTACTTGGTACTTGGTACATATTTTTTTTTTTTTAATTTTGAACCCTTTTAAAAGGGTCTTTCGGTTCATAATAAAAGTTAGCCACTGCTTATTGGAAACATTCTATATAGTCTAAACCAATTTATGGATTATTTTCGATAAATTTAATACAAAGATTTAAAGTTTTTAGTCGATGATAACATTCCACATCAGCACATTGCAAACCTATTTTATAGATAATAAGAATAAACTTGTAAATCATTAATTTGGTAGTTATCTCACTTATAATGATTTTTTTGTTCATATGACTCTTTTGATTTCTAAATATATTTTGGCCTTACAATACGAAGCGTTTTGTATCTAATACTTTTTTGTTGAACGATGAATGTTGACAGGCGTGTATCTTTTTCGGAACAAGAGGCGCTTTAACGGCGGAAATGATTTTCGAACTATCCAGTTAGTTTTCGGAAAACTAGAAAATGTTTGAACAAAGTTGTCAATAACATTAGTATGTCGTTCATTTGTTTCATTTTGATCAGTTTTCATTCTAAATTGCATAGAATGCTCTTCTTCCGAATCAAAATCGAGATACTCGATATTTCCACAGTTTATTTATAATACTTTCTAAACTGGCTTTATCTATCATTTTATATTCTTCATAATATATGTTATCACCCTACTTTGCACTTTATTAACAATTTTTTTTAACATACTTTAAAATGTGAGGATATTCTCAATTCGTTGAAATATTTTTTTATGTATGTTGAGCGATAATTCTTTACCACGTTGCCCGGTTTCTATGATTCTCTTTTTGTTAGAAAATGAATAGTACTATATAAATTAAGTCAAGATCTGAAGATGGGATCCATGAGAAAATCATTAACATCTTCATTTTTAAAGTAGGTTTTTTAAAATTTCTTTAAACCGTACTGGTTCACACGCGGTAAGGAATAAAGAAATGTAAAATTGTTGTGCCGGCCAAAAAGCGAAGAGGAAGTAACGAGTGACAGAAGTTTCTAAGTTCGTTGAGATCGGGTTTATATTTTAAAATGCCTTGAAACCCGCATTTAAAAGTATACAATTTAATAGGGTTAATTTTCAGTTTCTACATTTGAAAATATACCCAATGCCAACTCGGCCAGTGATGTCATAAATGTTAGGTACAGGTACAATTTAATACGGTTCATTTTAAAATTCTTTATTTTAAATTATACCCGACTGAAACTTTCTCTGACGTCATGAGCGTTGTGTAAAGGTATATATTCCAAATAAGCAACATTTCATGTTCCATCGCTATCAGGAATAATAGAAGTGGCATTTCATTTAAAATAAAAAGGAAATAACAGAACTGTCAAAATATTTTAGATGGAAAGATCATAGCCTGTTTACTATTTTTAACAAAAAATCATTCATCATTTTGTCAGATACCGATAACGTCTCCCCGTCGCTGGGCAGCCTGTACATAAATATACAGCTCTCTATTTACATAATTATAATTCTTAGGTAGGTTTAGATTACCAGACATAAATCTTGTGATAAATATAACAGCTGCTAAATACATTGATTACATTTTCATTAACCAATGTAAAAATGTCTTTTATTGTACCTAGGATTTAACTTAACACTACACGAAACTAAAAATAAAATGTCGTGTAATTAAATAATAAAATACAAATTCAAGCCAAAATATCACAAACGGTCCTGTAACGGCAGCGTCATAGAGCCTTGAAACACCGGATTAAAGTGGTGTTGCCAGGTCAATATTGAATTTGTAGGTGAATCGCTTGTTGTATTTGTATATATTTTTGGGAATGTAATTACACATAAATATTATTAGTTGATTATTTAAATGTTTATAAGGTATTTTGTGGCGATATTTCGTAGATATAAACTGATTAAATCATATAATTTAAAATTCTTTTGTGTTAGGTATGTTTAATATACTTGGCAACACTACAGGGACAAGTCATGCATACTACGCAAGCTTCTAGACACACTATTTTGAGATGTCAGGCGCAGAGACGCGTTTTTATGCAGAGGAGGTTTCAATTTCTGCTTGGATGTTATATTTATATTGGTCTTCTATATTATTTCTATGCTGAACATACATAAAAGAAAAAAAAATATCGCGACGAATTGAGTACCTCTTCCTTTTTTGAAGTAGGTTAAAAATAGAAATCATTCCTTTTTAACAAGTTATTTGTCACGTTTATTCTTTTTAACCTGAATATTATAATCTAACGTTTAAATTCTTTTGTTGAAGTTAACCATACAATAAATTACGTTAAAAATATTAACGTGCAGTTTTATTTATTTCTGTGACTGTAACATAAGATTTGGTAATAATATTACTTATGAACTCAATTTTCTCAGTAAGTCAGTTTTGTGGCATCGTCTGTTTTCCCCCCTTACCCTTCATATATATGCTACCCATGAAAATACTGAAACTTGTTTTAAATACATTAATAGTTCTATAAGTAAAATAAAATAAATGATTATTGTAATAGAAACTCGTTGAAAGTAAATTACGAAAAGACAAAATGAATGTTAATTGGGGGTACTGGAAATTTAAGAAAATTAAATATAGCATTGCAGTGTGTTTCTGTTGATGGAGTAAAGTTTCAGAGAGTCGTCGAATAAATTAAATATTTAGGGGTTATGGTTGATACAAATTTACAATTCATGCTAATAACGTCATCAAAATCATATCATGTAACACGGGATCGGTCGCTATCCTTCCTATAACGCGATCGGTCGCGTGTTAGATTTTATCTAACTTTAAAAAATATATCGGAATCAGTGTTTAAACATTCAATTTAATAAATGTAATTTAACTCTTCGTATTTTTGATATAAAATAACACAATCAGACTTTTTTATGTAAATTTATTTAACAAAAAATGTTGAGTTACAAAGATTCGTCACTGGAATTATCACATTCAAAACAAATATATGTGATTTTTTGGTGTGTCCCTTACAAATTGGGGAAGCACAAGTGACACATTGATGTGTAAACCGGTTTTTTCGAACTGGGCAGTATTTACATATTTTTGTAGAAGTTGCTGGTTTTGCAAAGGTGCGGCTGCATCGAAGGTTGTTTTTTCCAATAATGTTGGTTATTTTTTGGCAAAGTAGAATTGAAAAGTTGGAGATTGTTTGTAAAGATGAGCCGGTGTAAGCTGTTTTGACAGATTCGATATAAATATTCTTCTTGCAATTATCTCACTGGTATTACATTTCTGAATTATCTGGGCATTTATTGTACCAATATTTAGAAATGAACAAAATACTGTTAGTGACCAACGATTGCCGACTCTTGCTATGGAATATTCAGATTATAATCTATCGTATCCCGTCAACTCCAACCTTTGTGGAATTATAAATGTTTATAATTTCAGGTTATAGACTTCTTTGGTAGACACATCTATTGCATCAGTAGAGTCGAAAGCATCAGGACTTTTTTTTCGGTATATATGAAGCGAAAACACAACTGTTGCCTTCTTTTCCCAAACCGAACATACTGCTGCACATACGACGATTTTTTACTTAAAGAAATTCAGGAGGTATTTCCTGTTTATTTTTCTAAGTGAGCCAACCATAGTAAGCTTGTGATTTATAAGCAAGTCGTTAGCAAGTGGTATGGAGGAAAAGTAATTGTCACATTCCATCCAGACTTATCTATAGTGGATATCAGACACTTTACTACACTGGAAGCATCATTTGGCAAACAATGTGGGCCTTCTGGTTGCTTTCCCGCGTATATTTCCATGTGAGAATAAAATGTCCGAGCGACAGCTAGCTGTATATTTTTATGCCATATTTGGCAGGCTTATTAGCAATATATTGGCGAAAGAGACACTTTCCTCTGAAACAATCGAGCATCTCATCAATCGTTACATACTCCCCACTATATTACGAAGAGCATGCCTTTACAAATCGGTCAATTTTTTTTTTTTCGCCAATTGGAGCTAAGTTATTATATTTTGCCCTTTCTTTTCTGCTATTTTTATCATCGAATCGTATAGGCCGTACCGTCGGTACTTCACAATTCTGATGTATTCAAGTACTGTCCCTTCTTGACTCCTGCCATATATTAAAGCCGCAAGAATGTGCACATTTCGACGAAATCAATTGGTGGACAATCTCTAGGACGCGAATACGATTCCCTAAACTGTTCCAATTTCTGGTTTGTGAAAGTAATAATTTGCTCAATCATTTCATTAGGAAAAAATAATTTCCAGCAATCTAACGCGGTTTTAGCTCCCTTGGCATGCGGTTTTTTTTTTGGGCGTGTCCGGTTTGTGTTTGAACCACCCTGTTAAATTTTTCCCCAAGAAAATAGCTTTCCTTTTTGTTTTCGGTTGTAAAATAGCTTGAGCAATATGAACATCTTCAGTACCACTTTCGCCTGATTGTTCAGTATCAGTGTTATGTAAACTGTGTTCAGAGGGAGTATCCATAAGATCTTCGTCAGAATCCAGCGGTTTTTCTGTATTAGATGAAATTTCTTCAAACCATTTCATTAACTTTTTTTCTTGTTTCTTGTCCATGTTTCAGTTATTATTAGCTTTAAAGATAAAATAAAGATAAAATAACCATAACAAATAAACAAACTTTAAAGGTCGATTCCACCGTTGTGTTATACGGAGATTGAAATGACATTGTTAATGTAAAAATGTCATTTTAAACGAATTTTAACACAACGGTGGAATCGGTCCTAAGCCAAACTTACCAAAAACATAAACTAAACCATGAAAAAAATATACAAAACACAAAAATTTTCAAACGTAATTAGTCGCGTCGTTAGTTTTTTTTTAACAGGTTGGTGTGCGCTATAGGTCGCCTGTTAGAATAAAACTTAACATCTACCCGATATGGCTAAGCATTTTGAGCCAGCTAAGTGCCGAACTGCCATAGGCTAACATAGTACCCCCTCCAAGTGGGAAGAATCTAAATCCACTATTTTTAGTTTTATGAGCAAAAAAACTAAAATTGTCAGATTTTTTCTAACACTGCGACCGATTCTGGGTTAAAATCAACTATTTGAGGCGCTGTTCTGTACATCTCAGCAAATGGGCTAAAATAATAATTTATAATACTCTTATATTACTTCAATGTAATTATTGTGCGACTATATTGTATTTGCTCAACCAGAATGAGTTGCAACAAAAGTTGCAGAATAGAGGTATGAGGATAATACTGGGCTGTTCGAGATGGGAACCAATCAATTCCATGTCAAATGTGCTTCAGTGGTTGCCTGTTAAAAAATATTTGCTGTTCCATTCCCTGCTATTTATATTTAAGATTAAATCAGAAATCTCCCCAGTATATTTACAAAATATTTTAATTTATAATCAGGATGTTCATGAACACAATGCACGTAATTTACGAAGTTTATAGGCCATGAAAAAATGTACACAAAATTCAGTTTTTCTTAAAAGGTGTACAGGCTTTTAATAATTTGCCAGAAGATATTAAATGCTCTTCAAACCCAGCAATATTTAAAAGAAAACTAAATAGAGTGGCAAGAGCTAATCGATTTAACATAGAATTATTATTGATTATCTCCAACAGAATTTAGTAAACAGTTACCTACTCGTATATGTGAAGTTTGAATTGTTTATGAATGTTTTTTAATATGAATATATATTTTAAATTAATTTTTATTATTATTTAATATCTGTATTATCTTGGCTTTGACCCCTAAGTAAATAAATATGATTAAGTGGTGTAAGAGGACACTAAAATCCTCATAAACTAAACCTACTTAATGAATGACTTACCTTTTTTACTCCAAACATAAATTTGTTTAAATATAAATTCGTTTTTAATAAAAGCAGAAAAAAGAGCAAAAGTCAAGCAATACTAGTAAAAAATGCATCTATATGCTTACCTTATTAATACAGGTAAATTTGATCCTTTGGTAATACTAATTTCTTTACTACATTTATTCTTAACATTACTACTTATTGCCACGTTCTCCAGAAGTTTATTATCACTTGAGCTACCATTTTTATTGAACATTTTATCAACAACTTCATCGCCATTGTCAGTCTTTATTGTAGTTTTCTTTAACTTGGAAGCTCTTTTTGCGATCACAGGAATTCTACTCGATTCGCCCGTTACTATATTGAGACTTCTTCTTTTTAACTGCGATTGATTTGTTTGGGCGATATCCCTAATAAAAAAACAAGAATTTCTCTTGTGTCTCTTCTTAACTCCGTCTCCAGAATTCTTCGATTTAACACCGGTCTTTTTCTCTATACCAACTTTGACGTCGTCCGTAATATTCGTAGTTGACGTTTTCAGTTCGATGAGATCATCATCGGACATATTTTCGACGTTGGTGTTTTCTACGGATACGGTCGGTACGATTAACTCTAACGGTTGGGAGTGTTCGATGTTTAAAAGCGACATGTCGTCTTCTAAGGCCTTAAGAGAACCGGTGGGTGCCGGTTCTGGCAAAGCCACGCCCGCGTCTATATAGAAATGTTGATCTAAGAAGCTCATCTCGCTGGAAAAAAACGAAGCTTTTAGCCGTGATACTATAAAAAGAAGGGTATGATATTTCGTAGATTTGTACTGTGATGCAGATGTTTTATTCACTTTTAATGATTGACATATAAAGTTTGTTTACATCGGTATTTGATTATGTAAAGGATAATGACCCTTCATCAAGTGTGTCACAATATAAAAATACATTTAATACATATGGTTATTTGTGATTAATGTTTTTGTGTATTCGAAGTACTTACTTTATAATCAGGCACACTGAAATGAATAATTATGGAGTCAATGTGTTGTAAAATGAAAAGTTTTTTTTAATAGGAAGATTATTAAAAATTATCAACAAAAAATAAACTAGGGGTGATTTTTTTTAAATAATTTGACTTATCCATTACAGATCAGCTACAATAGGAAAACAAGTTTTTAAACATTAAAGGGAATAGAGTTACTAATACCTACCTATGCCTAAGCCAAATTAGCTGATAGTGGGAAAATTAATTTGAATCTGCTAGCCTGTCCTGTAAGCGTCTCATGAGCTTATGTCTATAAAGAAAAACGTTAATTATGTTTTCAATTTAAATTAGAACATTATAAAGTATTTTTTTGAATTGATTTAAATCAAATTATATTACGCTTTATTTATACAGGTTTAAATATATCATTTAAATTTTCTGCACCACATTACGTCATGCACGAACTCGACGAGATCTCCTCGGCTAAGTATCATACCTCTGTAATTTTTATGTATCATGGCTTTTAGCGTAGAGGCGGAGATTCTACAAAGAATTAACTTCAAGTGCTTGCAAAAAACAGGTACAATACTCAAAACGAGTCACTCATTTCTTTCGTTACTTTTGGTTTGTGACATAAAATGTACAAAAATAACAAATAATGACCTATTACATTTCTAAAATAATGCTTACCTCAAAGGCGGTGGAGCGCCGCTGCCCGAGATAACACTAGATGCACGAGCGCCGCTTGATGTCCTTGTGGGTATTTTTGCCCCACCTCTCATATTATTACGAGAGCCATCTCTTGTAACGTCACTTCTGATATTGGACGGCGGCTGGTGACCTACAAAAATAATTAAATCTCTCTATAACACGGGAAAGATGCCATTTCTCGTTCCGGTTTTCCCAATTGATTATATCGCTGATGCTCCCTAAATCTCACAATCATAATTTACAAGTCTACCCCTCTAATGTTAATTTTAAAAATTCGCCAACTTCTTCATCATGACACACATCATAATGAACTGTTGAGTTTTTGACCAGTAACAACATCCAATTAATGACTAATTGCCCATATTTACCTGCTTTATTGACCAATGACTTTTTAGTCCGATGCATCAAAAATAAAATACATGCTTTTTGCATTGCCCGAAAAGGCCGTTGAAGCATTTAAATCACTAGTTTCAGAGGTATTTTACTCAGGATAAAAAATGTGTTTTGAAAATTAATTTCATCGAATGCAAAAGTGTATAGATTGGTAATGGCAATATTTTGAAAAGCAATAAAGTGATTTATTTACGTAATATAATTTGTGGTATGTTTTACATTTTTCGCGAACTTTTGCAGTGCCCCTCATATCACATCAACCTGTCAATCCTAGTCTAAATACGTTAAATGTTGTAAGAATATGTAGGAGTTTGTAAGAATTAGTGATGGAATAAAAACCGTTCTTTCATAAGTAAAAATTGTCTTTTTTATAAAAAAATGAAATATTAAAGGTACTATAGCGGCATACAAGCTGCAAGGTTGAACCAAAATAGTTCCCGGCGCAAGAAAAATTGGAGATTTCTATTAGAAATCGTCGTTCGACAGCTTAACTGCACAGTTTTAGTTTTTAGTATTGTTAACTTCCGGAAAAACAATGTTTTCTTTAAAGAGGGACGAATTTAAAACGCCCATTTTTTTCTTACAATAAAAAAGCTATTTTGGTTGAGTTTTTGTTTTATTCATAAATACTCATGTATGTTTATTTAAGAAGCAAGGTTTTATTTTGTTTGTATTTAAATGCTTCTTTTATAAATAATGAAATAAAGATTATTTTAAAAACTTGCTAAATTTTTCTGCTTTTCTGCTATTTTCTCTATTATGAAAAAGAATGTTACTGAAAAAAAAAACAAACAAATCGCTTTGTGTTTTTTCTAAAAAAAAAAAAAACATGTTTTTTTTTCTAAAAATCCTTTTTTTTTATTTACATAACTATTTAGAATACGTAAGAATATGTTAAGAGTGTCAACTGAATGCGTCTCTGGGTGGTGGATAGGAGAACGGCCAGGATTTTCATGGTTAGTGGTAGACATAAGTAGAGTGAGAGAACCTTAAAACTCAAAATCTTTTGCAAAGGCTACCGCCGCGAACCAACTCCCCCAATCTAAGATGTAAGGTGACGTGCCGACGGATGAATTATTGCAGGGGCAGATGCGGCAGCTAACGTTCCTCTGAGGGTATCTGGAGACAACCTCTTGTATCTATAGCCTTGTCGGCTCTTCGTCGGTCGACCCTTCTTTTCATAGCTACTCGTGGGAACCTTATGGAACCAAACTCACACAAATCCAAGGAGGCTGAACGTCAACGTTTACCTCCAGCAAAGGAGGCTGGATGTCAACTTTCACCTCCAGCAAAGAAAGTTGAACTTCAAGTTTCTCCTCCAGCAAAGGAGGCTGGACAACAAAGTTCAACTCCAGCACAGAAGGCTGGACAGTGATATTGACCTCTAAAATACGAGGATGGGCATCGCAGTTCACCTCAAACCGACAGGCGCCAGAGAGGCAAGAGGATCTCTGGTTCTGAAGCAAAGAGGAGGAAGAGGGCTAAACTGCTAAACTGTGAGCAGTAGTGCCAGTGTAGTTCAAACCGAGCTCATGGAGATTCTCATAGCAGCAAAATAAATCATCAGAAATAATATCACTGGAAGAAACATGCTCATCTATACAGACAGCAGACAAGCACTACTCACCCTGGATAGACCACAAATGTATTCAGGGTTATTACTAGAATTTCATGAAGCTTTGACCGAAGTATCCATTAACAATGTGGTCAACTTGAGATGGATCAAAGGTCACGCCACATCGAAAGGTAACCGTCTTGCCGATTCGCTGGCCAAGAAAAAGCAGCCAACCAAATACTGTTTGGACCTGGTCCCTCTATTGGACTGACAACATCGGTAGTGACAAACCTAATTAAAGAACATTCCCTTGTGAAATTCAAGGAAAGATAAGATGAAACAAAAAGCTGCAGACTTGCCGGGGAGCTTTTAAGTTATTCTGACAACACTACAGCAAACAAATACTTGACTATGACTAGACAGAATCTGCGTCTGAGCACAGGCATTTTGACTGGACATTGCCAACTACGGAAGTATCTTCATATCATAGGGCTGGCAGAATCCGCACTCTGTAGGGGATGCGAACAAGAAGATGAGACCATCGAGCATATCCTGTACGATTGCCCGATACTCTCATTTATTGGAAGATTTGTGTTCAGCGAGAATTGGCTAACACCGGCCGATATAAGAGAAGCACCTCTTGGCGACGTTGTCAACTACATTAAATCTATAGGCTGGCTACGAGCTAGGAGGTGCCTATCATTTTAGGAAGATACACAATGGGCCTAGTGAGGCCAAAGTGCTGTGGGCTAACCCACCCTCTACACGTTACATATCTAGAAATACTGTAGGTAGCTGTAAATGCATTTCGATTGCAACCTGATAGCAGCGACTTGTTTTCTCGAAGTGAGTTTGTCATATATTTTAATTATTGTTTTGTATTATTGTTTATTTACTGTTTTAATTCGAATGGTTTGAAAAACAAAAAAAATCACGTATTTAAATAAAAGACTAAGAACTTAAACGATGCATAATACATAGACGTAAATGATCATTATCGTTACAGATACAGTTGTTAGAATATGCAAGAATGTGTAAGAGTATGTATTTGATTATTTCATATCTTACTCGGACGCGGTCTCGGTCCTGTAGGCGGCGCAGACCCCGCAGTTTTCCCCTGTTGTATCTTATCCTCCTCTTCGATCTTTCGTTTTTCTTCTAGCAACACGTCCGGCCTATTTACGTGGGGCGTGCGCACTTCTTTGCTTTTTGTTCTCAAGGAATTCAACACGTCTTTATCTTTCTCCATCATTTCCAGCTTGGACACTAAATTCTCTAGCTTCGTCAGCAAATTACGGTCTATGGGCATTATGAGCATTTGCTTCAGGGTTGGGCACAGATTTACGACGCAAAGACGAATGGTTGATACTGGATCTTCTAAAAATGAGATATTAAGTTTAGTTATAGAAACGAAAACAAAAAAGAATTTGCTATTTTCGATTAGTAGAAGAAAACTAAATGCCGTAATAGGATTCTTTATGGGACACTGCGGCCTTGGGAGACACCTAAATCACAGAGGAGGACGAAATTCCTATTCTCATATGCCATTATCCGAATCTTAAATGAGAACAGGAATGGCACTTCAGGGTACAATATCCGGAACCTGAAGAATCGTGAAAGTGCCCATCAGACATACTCTTGAATTCATCAAGAATAATAATCTGATGGATTAGAAGGGGTACAATAAGCCTATAGCTTTAGTACGAGATACACCCTAATTCAGGTAGATCTTCGATTTTGTTGATTTGAGAAATATTTGTTGCTTGTATTCATTTGTTCCTGAGGAATTCGTTACTTTAACTAAAAAGCGTCTAAAAACCAGCCATCGCAAAATTTACCATGCTTCTCCGCCCATCTTTGCTAGAACAGTCAACTTTTTGATATCAAATCTGTAATTGTAAGGTGAAGAAGGTTGGTTACCCTCACAGCACTCATAGATGAGAGTGTCGGGAAATCATAGAGGATATACTTGGCAATGACTAATTAGAACGTGATCAAGCACAGATTCTAGTCACACTCTAGTATTGTTAGGGTAGCCTAAAAGCTATTTGGAAAGTCTGCAGCTTCTTATTTCACTCCACCTTTCCTTGAAATTTACGGGAATGTTCTTTAATCAGGTTTGTTATGACCGACAATGTTGTTAGTCCAATGAAAGGGCCAGATCCAAAAAGTATTTTGGTTGGTTGCCTTCTTGGTTAGTCCTTTCGATGTTGCGTGGCCTTTGATACATATTAAGGGGACCACATTGTTGATAGATAAGGACATTCTAGTACTAACTCTGAGTTAAATTCGTGGTCTGTTTAGGGTGAGTAATACATTGACTGATATCTGTATAGATGAGCATGTTCCTTCCATTGATATTGTTTCTGGTATTTTTTTGCAGCTATGAGAATCCTTATAAACTCAGTTATGTTTGGGAATAAATATCTGGAGTATATTCCATACCCTGGGTATCGTTGTTTTAGAACTGTCTGCATAGATATGAAAAGTAACTACCACTTCTGACTCTTCTATATTTTTCATTATAACTCTGGCTAATATCAAGGTGTTAAGTTATAACCTCATCTCCTTATTCACCACATTTGACCCTCTGTGGTTTTTCCATTACCTATAGACAAAGAAAAACTTATATGGCGTCTGTAGCTGTGTATAATGAATTCCTAAAGAAACTTGGTCTGCTGTCAATGATTTGACAGAATTTACAAAACTATATTCATTGTAAAGGAAATTCTTTAAAAAAAAACAAAATTAATAAAATTGTTTCAAATATTTAATGATTTTGTTGTATCTAAAATATTTCTGCACACATGTAGATAAATTTATTTTATAGTTATTTGAATTAAAAATGTTAGGTTGAAATGAAAATAGTTACCTCCGAGTTGTAAAAGATGTGTAAAAAAATGTTCTTTGAAATATTTCCAACTGAATATTTGTATAGCTTCGATACACATTAAAATAAATATATGCCTTGTATAGCAACAATTTGAGTTGCACAAAGAATTGATCAAACTCTCTCGGATCCATTTTCTGTGGTTTTCTTTCATGTTGTACCTTAAAAAAAACAATATCGTCCTAGCAGCTTGAGTCCTTACTGGACGGGGTCTCTGAAATATGAAAATACATATTTGAATAGACTTATGGTATTTTTTTTACTTTGATAGTTAATATTTTTGAAGGAGTTGGACTATAGATTCTAAATCTAGATTTCCAACTGGATAGGATTTTAAGTAACTAAAATGTAATAGGAATATTGCTAGAGCTACATCTGAGCATTGATGTTCTATGCATTGATTTTGTAGAATCCATAGGAGTAGCCATCAAAAGCGACATATATTGAGCTTTTGTGATAATCCATTTGAGAAAATTATGTTTAAAAAAGTAATAAATATTAACTCACTGCAACTGTTGTCAATTTCAATATAAGCGGAGTGAAATGTTGATGTATAAAATCAGGTGGCATGCACAGGGGTAGTTTTTCCAATTGTTCTAGAAAGGTCTTGTTCCTGCGCCAGTTGTAATATTTGAAAATCTCAGACTGACATTTCAATAGAGCCCTGCCTGTGTCCAATGTCGCCTGAGTAGTTTGTTCTTTCGACAAATAACCAACGCTTGCTAACAATGCCAATGTGGATCCTATATTAGGTACCAGGACATCTAAAACCTCTTCTGAGTCATCTCTTATTAATTTCAGCAAATCAGGAAGTATTATTTTGCCTTCCGGGCCTAAATAAAACATCAAGTTCAACGTAATTTTTAAACGATTCTATAGATTTACCCAAAATTTTCGTGATATCGAACATCCTCCCAGCGACAGTTTTCCTGACAATGAAACAAGGATCGGCAGCCAAATCCTTAAATGTGATGTACCATTTTTGCGTTTCGTGCGGTATAATAGTAAGTACAAAAAAAGCAACGTCTGGAAGATTACCTGCACAATACTCTCTGCATAATATAGCCTGAGAACAATATTAAGTTTTTCAAAAATACGTATAAGTTTATTTGCATAGTCTCAAGGTTAATTTTACCTAAACAAGTAGGTACATAAGATTGTGTATGACTTAGCCATTCCTTAAAAATAAGTAAATAATAAATCTTAATAAAAAATGGGTTTTCTAAAATTATAGAACAACGTATATTATAAAAATAATCAAACAAGATGCTCTAATGTAGATGATAAAATACATCACTGCTTCCTTGACCTTACGAAAGCGTTTTTTTTGTTATTATATTTTTTTGGAATATACGGTTCAAATTACATATAGCAGTGTTGTCAAATTTTAATTTTCCCCAAACAATTCATTTTTAATTTTTTTTTAGGTAGAATTTCATGAACTGGAAAATAATGTTCTCACATCCTCAAATAACTAAAAACAAAAGCTATTTTACGAATTACAGATAAAATACATCTCTAAAACATGTTTTTTTACCAAAATTTCCATTATTTAAATGGCACCTATTGAGAGCCATTTAGCCCTTTGATGGCAAATTTCATCAAAAATCTGACAATTTGCAAAAAAAATTGAAAAAAAAAAGTTTGAGAAAATTTTAATTTGGCAACACTGTCATATGAACAAAGAAACGTAGATAAAAAAAAAATATATATATAGGGCGAATAATTTAAAAAATCAAACTCAATGGCATTTACAATAAAATCAAACCGTGAATATACAAAATTAAACTAGAACCTAAACTTTACCAAAGGTTCACTCTCCAAATCCTCATGAATTATAGTTAGGCCTCTTTTGGATAGTTCTTGATAATGATCAACAAACCACACACTGTCTGCATCGGTTAGATGATGTTGCAAATTAGTCAACAAATTTCCATAATTTTTCGCAACATGGGGAAATGTCATGTCACCTTCTTTGAAACTCTGAAGACATAGCCGTTTCACTAATGGAATAGCAGTTTGTTTTATTGATTCTACGAAAAATATATATTTAATTTATTGGTTGAAATATGTATTTATTAGGTGTCCCTCAAAATAATGCATTTCTTTCAACTTTTTTTAAAGAGATAAAGTATTATTTTCGGGGACACCTTGTATTACTGACCTGCATTTAGATACGGAATAAGTAGGACAGCAGCATTCACTGCAGCTGCTCTGACTTGCATGTTTTCATCATTTGATAACTCTACTAAACATGGTAGCAGACATAATTTTACATTTGCCTCATTTCCTAAACCTTTTGCCACGTTTGGCAATTCTACACACATTGCAGCTCTTACTTCGTACAAGCAATCTTGGCAAAGGCTTTGTGTCACAGGAACCACATCTTTTTTAACACTATAACAAGAGTACTTTGAATGATACTGAAGCTTACAAATAGTGTTGTGGTTCCTCATTGGCTTTGATGTTATTATACAAAATCTTTGTAAAGAAATAAAGCTGCATTTTTATACTGTCTGTATTATAGAAGATTAGTCACAGTACATCAATGCAGAATATCCTAGAGGGAAAGCCCACTCACGCGACACGTCGCGCGCGACCTGCCGCATGCGATTTTTTAGGTGCGATTTTTAACAGACAGCAGCGACACAGACGTTCAATATCAAAATAGAGGTGGAAGAGTAGCAACGGTGTTGTTTTATTCTGTTCATCGGCGGAAAAACTTGAAACGACGTGGGTACTGGGTTCATTCATTATTTATAGACCCTTATGTAAAAGGCGCATATTATACAAGGATTTACTTCAACACGAAGATCAGTTCTTCAAATATTGCAGAATGCTAGCGCAGATTCCCGAACAAATATTTTTATCGCTATTTTATTTCAATTAACTGTTCAATATTTGAGGTCGATCTTGAATATCGGATATAAATTCATCTATATCAATACAACTGTCGGACATTTTTTCACTGGAACTGTCGAAAAGGTAACAGGAAACTCCAACTCTCAACTGGCGTTTCGCACGCGACTTGACGTTTGTATGAGTGATGCTCCATATGTATCCATGATAACGCTGGCCACGTGCGGCAGGAAAATCGCGGATTTGTCATTTTTAATTTTCAGTCGCTTGCGACCACGCGACAGAACCGCGTTAATGGGCTTTGAGTCATTTAAAAACATCTAAAGTATTGCCGCGCGCGATGCCTCGGGATCAGCCGCGCGCGACATGTCGCGTGAGTGGGCTTTCCCTCTAACAGGGTAAAAATCAATAATTTTATCTCAAAATAAATAGCAGTTGTGTCTCTCACAGTGCACACTGTTAACTTTTGATCTTTAATGTATGTATTAATGATATAACTTTAACCATTAAATGCTTCTCTTGCCTTATGTTTGTTGATGATATGAAGCTTTTCAAGACCATGGGGTAAAATTATACTATGCAGTTATATCAGATTTAAACAATTTAGCAATTTGGAGTGTCAGATGAACAGGCTTTCTTTAAATATTAAGAAATGCTCAGTTATAAGCTTCTATTAACAGAGCCATAAGACACTCCATGAATACCAATATAACGAAGAACTGAGCAGAGTTCAAATAATAAAGGAATTTGATTAATCTCTTTTATTCATGGAACACATTAATATAATAACTAATAAATCACTCAAAATTAGGTTTTATAATGAAAAGCTCTAAGGATTTATCTGTACAATCTTTAAGCGCAATATATTGCTCATTGGTTAGATCAATTTTAGAATATTCCATAATTGTTTAGAATCTTCAATATGAAATATATATTAATCAATTAGAAAGGTAGCAAAAGAAATTTGTAAGGTGCTGTTCTTTATGATTTAATGTTCAATAGAATTATTTGAAAAATTTAAAATTACTTAATCTAGATCAATAGGAGAAAAGAAAATGAATATTCCTTCTCTCTTTTATGTATAATAAAATTAATGGAATTTACAATAATTGTTTATTCTGGAGAAAATATATCTGAGAATTTCTTCTAGGCTTCAGTGATCAAATGATTCATTTTTTAATCCTATGCATTCTACAAACTGTGGCCAACATGTAAATTTTTTTTATATTTATTTTTAATTCATATATTATATACATGCACAATTTAAATTTAATGCATTTTAAGCATGTAATTAACAATGTAATGGGATTTTTCGTCAATAAATAAATAAAAAGTATAGTTGGTTGATACACCGAAATTTAACTACTTATTTTCATTCATTTCTTTTTTTTAAGATCCTGTAGGGTAAATGTATTGTAGAATACTTTGTAAGCAATATTACCTGACAACACAAGGAAAATTAATTAAATTTGTTGAATTAAAAAGTGCTGTTGCCCCTAAAAATAGTATTTTTAAATTGCATGTGATTCAAAATACAATATTTATGGAAATAATTCTCTACATAATTATCAATCAAATACATAAAAAAATAGAGAGCAAGAATTTGAAACATATTTTTGAATTAAATCATCCTGTTCAGTAAATACACAAACTTTTATATATTTGTAATATTTATGATTTAGTATACTAAATTCAATCTAAAATAAAAAATTTTGCTAAATAACATTAATTATCAAGGTTTTAAGGATGGTTTGTCAGCAAGCTACAGGGTCATTACTTTTATTAAATGAAATTATTTGTAAAAGGAAAAATAACTTACTCAAATGCACTTATTTTTGGATGGACAGCAATTTTTCCTAACATTTTACAGCTGTTTACTCTATAAAATACTGGTCTGTTCAGTTGAGACTGTTTCACAGTAAATGGTAACACCTGAATATTTAAAAATATACATTTAAATATAATATCAGTTATTAGAACATTTAAATTATGGACTCTCTCAAATGAAATAAGACAAAACACTAAAAATATAGGATGACAAAATGTTGCTGAAGGGCTTAAGTTACAAAAACATATTTTCGAGATATTTGAGTTTGTTTCTTATTTGGATAGTTCATCATCTAGAGCGTAGGCCCTTTACTCCTGGTAACATATTTATTTGAATGAATATCATAAGGGAATATAGATTGAATTTTAGGTACAGATGTCCTTCATTTCTACAAAAAACATTGATTTAAAAACATTTGCATTGCCCTTTACTAGGGTGAGCATATCTCTTTCGACCCAATGCTGGACGCTGAATATGAAATACAAAATTGATGATCTTTGGAGAGGCGAAGACATTTTTTTTTAGCCTAGCATTACAAAATGTAATGTATTTTTATCTTTGGGGAGCTACAAATAAAAAGGCACTCACCTCTCCAAAGTTCATGATTGTTTTATTTCATGTTAGGCATCCAGCATTGAGTTTCAGTAAATTATGTATTACATTGCTGGATGCTAGACAATAAAATACGTTTTGATGGGCAGACTTTGAAAATGCTGTACAATCACTACAGCAAAATGCTGTACATACTGTCACCCTAACCTTTTCTTCATTTATTAAAATAAACAAAGGTGACTTAACCATTTATCTTCAGATTGAAAGATTATTAAAAACACTGTAATTTGAAAGAACCTAAATTCTTAGCCTTATCCTTAGTAACTATTATTTACTTAATGTTCACTGTTTTGCAGTGTCGGATTGGGACCTCCAGGGACTAACGACCAGGATGGAGAAGGAACCACCTATCAATTTTTTGTCATAGGCCAATTCCATGAAGAGCATAAAAAGTCCTCCTTGAATACTGATGCTTTTTCAGAGGGTTTCTTCGCATTTGTTGTTCTCCAGGGCCCACTGCTTGAACGGCCTTTGGACTGATAGACTGACGGCCCAATCCGACACGTTTTTTACTTGCCTCTATTTTTATAGCATCCTCCGTTAAAAAAGTGATAACTCCCAATAAAGTTTCATTCCAAGCATTTGCCACCATGGGGTCTTTGCTTTCAATGCCTTGAAATACTGGCCTCAATAAATTCATGTCCAACTTCATTTCGATAAGGATCTTAAATATCTTACTCGAAATCAACTGAAACTCCAAGGAGGAATTTACGGGCAATTCTTGCTGTATTTTGGGAATAATTCTCGATACAGTGCCATTGTGATCGGCCTTTAGTAGGTTTGGAAGATTCTGTATAACGCTAAGTTTCTGTAAATCATCTCCTTTCCTAATAATAAGAAAAAATAATTAAATCAAGAATGTACATTTCTAAATATTAAAATTTACATATATAAATCTTGCCATGATAGAGGTTCTGTTTTTGAGACCTCTTGATTCTCCATGCTATCCATTCTTAATCACCATGTTAATTTTTATTAAATAAATAATTATTAGTCATATCAATATCCATTTTTATTTATTGCAAATTGTAAAACTATTTATTTACAATTTATGCAACAAATGTTAAAATTGAATATTCATTCTTTTTAGGTCCAAAAAACATTAGTAAAGAAGAATAAATAGGATTAAGGATAAAAAGAAGAATTTGTTAGGCCGTTTTTGGCCACAGTTCGTAGACCCACTGTCAAAGAGCCATTTCTAAGCCGACATGGGTGAAAAAACGGCCAGTGCGCATGACAATTTGGACGCCAGACTGTCAATTTCAAGCGTTACGTCACGTTTTCCACGGGCGTACTACGATTAGTTATATTATTTTTTATTAATAACGCACTATTTTAATAATTATCATTATTGGAACATTTGTTTCAGCTGCGTATTAAACAAAAATAATTTTCAAGTGATTTTTTTAAATTAAAAGGTGTAGTTGAATGTAAAGGCTGTATGTCACGATACTAAATTAAGTACTAAATTTAGCACTAAATTAAGTTATTAAAGGCTGTATGTCACGATACTAAATTAAGTACTAAATTTAGAACTAAATTAATGCATTTTTTAAGTACTAAAAAAATTCACGTTGCAAACAGCAAATTTAGTACTAAATTTAGTGCTAAAAAAAGTCATTAATTAAGTACTAAAAGTGCGCCGAAATGTTGCGCAGAAGTTTTTCATAGAAAAAGTTGACACGACGGTATTTTCTGTACCCTTTTATTTTTAATTAGCGACAATTTTACATTATCGCCTTGAATAAAGTTCGCTTGTTTGATTTTGTAGGTTTTATTGTGTTTTTTTCGTGGTTTTTATGCTGAATTTGGTTGTTGTCAAGTCAACTAGTGTCAAATTGATAATAAAAACACCATTTACTTGTCTGTTTTACACATAATATTTCATTTCTCTGTTAATTTTACGTATTAATACGTCAATGCGCGTGTGCCTATAGTAAATTTAGTACTAAAAATTGGTATCGTTGCAAACGGAAAAAAAAATTTTTAGTTCTAAATTTAGTACTAAATTAATAACTTAATTTAGTGCTAAATTTAGTACTTAATTTAGTATCGTGACATACAGCCTTAATTTAGTACTAATTTAGAACTAAAAATTTTTTTTTCCGTTTGCAACGATACCAATTTTTAGTACTAAATTTACTATAGGCGCACGCGCATTGACGTATTAATACGTAAAATTAACAGAGAAATGAAATATTATGTGTAAAACAGACAAGTAAATGGTGTTTTTATTATCAATTTGACACTAGTTGACTTGACAACAACCAAATACAGCATAAAAACCACGAAAAAAACACAATAAAACCTACAAAATCAAACAAGCGAACTTTATTCAAGGCGATAATGTAAAATTGTCGCTAATTAAAAATAAAAGGGTACAGAAAATACCGTCGTGTCAACTTTTTCTATGAAAAACTTCTGCGCAACATTTCGACGCACTTTTAGTACTTAATTAATGACTTTTTTTAGCACTAAATCTAGTACTAAATTTGCTGTTTGCAACGTGAATTTTTTTAGTACTTAAAAAATGCATTAATTTAGTTCAAAATTTAGTACTTAATTTAGTATCGTGACATACAGCCTTAATAAGTGTTAAATTTAATTTTGATGTTCCTTTTTAGTGCATTTTAGCGCAGTTCAGTGGTCAAAACCCACTGTTAGCCATTTTGTTTGGAGTAACTGTAAAAATAGACCGTGTGTTCCGTATATCACCTTGGTTAACCTGGTTAGTAAAATCGCGTTCCGTAAATGTCAAATTCCTGAAAATTGTAGATTTACGGGACAATGTTCCTGAAATGCGGTTGGTACCAGCTGTCACCAAAGTGACCAAACTTTTTCATCGGTTGTTATGGTTGACGTTGACATTTGTGATAATCATGTGTCATATCAGTTAAATTTGTTTTGGACTTTTTTAATTTTAGAAGAAGGAATATTTTAGCAATCGTAAAAACATCAAAAAATAATATCTAGTTCAAGTTCATAAATATAAAAGACATGCAAACATCAACATCCAACAAACAATGCATTGATTTGACCTTTGACATTTAGAAGCGTTCCGTAAATATTTCACTTATCAAAAACCAAAAACGAAACCGTCCTGAAAACGCTAGTAACCGCTTTAACCACACCGGTAATATTCGGTGATATACGGAACATACGGAGAGTGTTTAATGAATTGACGTTTGAGTCACCATTTTCAGTTAACCGCATCCCTAATTTAACCGATTTTTCAGGAATGTCAAGCAGAGCGGTTACTTTTGGATCGAGTAACCGATATTTCGGTTAATAACGGACAATACCATTAGAGATTGGGTTAATAAAACCCAGTGAGTTTTTTTCATTCATATTATCAAGAATTTTGGGTGAACTTTTCCTATTTTCTTATCTGTTTAATTATAGGTATTTTCCTTTGCCAAGTTCCTTTAACTCCTTTAACACTTTTAACTCCAAACGACCCTTTTAGCGTTCGGTTTAGTCCGATTAGTGACAGTTTAACATGCTTAAATGTCATTTAAACGCACCCTAAAAAAACTCTGCTTTTGTCCCGCTCCAGTCCCTGACTATCCGAACTAGCCTACTGAGCTACGCCACTTCTGAAAATATCGTTCCATCCATACAATTTGTATAAATGGAACGATATTTTCAGAAGTGGTGTTGCTCAGTGCTACACTTACGATGCAAAGGAAAATACCTAATTAATTAATAATTTAAGGTTCACATGATCCATCCATCAGTGCATCAACCACATACTTTGATTTTCTCTTACTATACTTGAGTGGCTTTTCAAAGGAGATAGAAAACGACTAAAACGACTAAACCGACAATTCCGGAAGCAGAAGCGGATGATTAAAACGCACCTGAAATTTACTTGCTGCTGTCAGTGTCAGTGAATATTATTTTTGGAGTCACAGTCTATTGCTAAAGAATCAGTTAGCTCACTCGGACCAGTTGAAAGTTCCAAAATAACATCCACTCCAAGGATACAAATTCAGGATGCGCAGAAGATTGCTGTTTTATTATAGGCGGTTGTCATATATTATATTATCCGAGTTGCGCAGTGTATAAACTGGAACATTGAGATCAAAAGTGCCGACGCAGAGTGAGCGAACTGATTATTTAGCTATAAATTGTGGTAAAGGCATCAAAATGGCCGAGCCCTATGTTGGGCGTGTCGGACCTCTCTTGCACCGTATAGTAATCAAAGTATGTGGCATCAACACATTTAAGTCGATGGATTTGGTGATAACCATCTGAGAATTAGGTTGAATTTAAGAATATGATGTATGGCTCATCTAAAATTTTTTGATGAATAAAAGAAAGGTTTCGATGAATGCTAGAAAGGCGTCAATGAATATTAGAAAACGCCTAAACCAACATGAACATTAATGATAGATTGTTAATAACATAATCTATCATAAATGTTCATATTGGTTATGCCGCAAAAAATACCTTATAGTTGACGGATTTATACGAATTTAAACTTATAATTTCTGAGTAGCTTACGAAAGAATATATAAACTTCTTTCAATGGGTTTATTTTCATATCCCGGTTCAATTGAATGCTTCTGAATTTGCAGCGCTGACTAAAAATAAATCATGTTAAGTTCTTGTTTGTATGCAATATATCCTTCAAATAAAATACTTTTCCAACCCCGGGTCTATCAAGCTGCAAACTTACAAATTCTTCATCAACTACTGTTTTGGACATCGAAAAAAGGTGCAACAAAATATATTAATTTCTAATAATAAAAGTAAATGTCAATTTTGATTAATAAATTAGGCATTCCAAACAAATGAATTACCAGTGGGCAGGTTTGGTATATCTAAGGCGACATATGGTGTATTCTATCTACTTTACGTAAAATCATGAATAATGGATTACATTTAAATATTTTATGTCAAACACAATAAAAATAATATTTAAAAAACCCACCTATACATTTTTTCATAAATTGGCAGGCTTGGCGAGTACTACTTCGAATAAAAATAGTGTCCAAGTTGCAAGACTATGTCGCTACCCCCCTTAAATATACAAGAATTTCCCACTGGCACCTATTTTTTGACAGGTCGTTGGAATGCCTAATTATACGATCAACATTGCGTTCGGTCTGCCAGTCCAAACGACTCTTTTAGCGTTCGGTTTAGTCAGTGTTGTATATTGTAAATATTACTGGTACGCCACTGGGATATTTATTTATTTCTTTGGTTGATTTGTTATCGCCTAGGTACATCGATGGGTATGTACAATACTAAAAAGAAATCATTCTTGTATTAACCGTAAATCAATAAAGAATAATAATAATACTTAAAGTGTGAGTTTGATTCTTCCAAATTGAAGGCTTCAAGTGTTATATAAACTTCATATTAAGGACAATATAACAAATTGGCGACGATTGTAATTAGTTAGTTGTAATTAAAGTGTGGTGTTAGAAAAAAAAATGCCGGACGAAAAATTTACAAATTTGCTTGGGCATCTCCGCGAGTTCGATATCAACGCAAACGATTGGACAATTTTTCAACCAAGATTAAGTAATTATTTTATTGCTAACGGAATTAATGAGGAATCAAAAAAACGTGCAATTTTTTTAAACTCATTATCAGAAGACTCTTACCGGTTAATGTACAATTTGTGCCTGCCGGAAAAACCCGAAGAGAAAAATTTTAAAGACTTGTTGAAAGTATTTGACAAACATTTTGTCGGTCAACTATCCGTTTTTGCAGAACGTAGCAAATTTTATTCTGCAAAAAAGTTAGATTCAGAGTCAATTATGGAATGGACCGCTAGAGTTCGGAGTTTAGCGGTACACTGCCAATTTGGCGAATGTCTCGAGATGTCCTTAAGAGATCGATTCATAATGGGAATCGAAAGTAGATCAATAATGGATCGTCTTTTTGAAGAGAAAAATGATTTGACCTTCGAACGGGCCATTGCTATAGCAGCAAGTAAGGATGCCGCCATTCAAAATTCGCAACAAGCAGAGTACACAGGTCCAGTCATCAAGCCAGAACCACTTCATCATTTGCACAAGTCTGGAAAGAGAACCACAGCCATACACCAGCCATCCACGTCATCATCTACAATGGCGCACAGGAAATGTGACGTCTGTGGAACAATGAACTGGAGTGGGGTAGAAAGCTAATGTGCATATTGTATCAATAAAACAAGATGCGACTCTATGGGCGCAGCCATTATTATTTCTCATCTCACTCGGGAGTATTTACAATAACCATTTTCTGTTTCACATTGTTATTGTTCAATCCACAAGCTGGTGGATCAGACAATAACAAAGTGAAATAGAAAATGGTCGTTATAAATACTCCCGAGTGAGATGAAAAATAACCTGTCTTCGCCCATAGAGTCGCATCTCAAGCCTACTGACAAGCATTCTACCCCACTCCAGTTCATTGCTGTGGAAGAGGAAATCATACAGCTTCGAAATGTCAGTATCGTGAGTGTAAATGTCATGTTTGTAATCAGAAAGGGCATTTAGCTACTGTTTGTCCGCAAAGAAATTCTTATAAAAAAAATAGTTTATACAAAAATCAAACAGATAGAAATAACTTTCTAGAAAAACTTGATTCAGACGCAAATTCAGATTCAGACAGTAATGTAGCAGAGAATTTATTATTTATGATTTCAAATTTAAATCAGAAGTTAGGTAAACAGCCTATTATGGCAGAGATAATCATTTTTAATAAAACATTTAAATTTCAAATTGATACGGGAGCTTCTTCTAGTTGTTTTTCCGATATATTTTATCAAGATCATTTTACAGATTTCAAATTAAATCATACTGATCAAGAATTTTTTGTTTATACAGGACAAAAAATTAAACCAATTGGTAGTACAAATTTAACTATAACTTACAGAAATATTTCTAAGAATTTAACATTTTTTGTTATTGAAAATGGAGGTCCTCCAATCCTGGGACGAGATTTTTTTGAATTGTTTAAATTAAATCTAACTGAACATTATTTTTTTGAGGAAAAGGCACAACTTAACAACCTTATTGAAAAAAATAAAACATTATTTGAACCAGGGTTGGGAACCTTTAATAAAGGAACAGCTAAAATAATTTTAAAAGCCGGTACGGTAGCTCCAAAATTTTTTAGGGCCAGACCACTCCCATTCGCACTTAAAGAAAAGGTTGAAAATGAACTAAATCGACTATTAAAAGAAAATGTTATCACTCCAGTAGAATATACAGAATGGGCAACACCAATAGTGCCGGTTATCAAACCCAACGGCCAGGTTAGGATTTGTGGTGACTTTAAGATTACCATAAACCCTTATTTGCAAATTTATCAATATCCGTTACCTAGGGCAGAGGAGTTGTTTGCGAAACTTGGAGGAGGTATCGAATTTAGTAAAATTGATCTTACAAACGCTTATCAACAAATTTTGTTAGACGAAAATTCAAAAATAGTTACAACTATTTCCACACATAAAGGTTTTTTTGTTTATAATAGACTTCCTTTTGGAATTTCTTCCGGGCCTGCAATCTTTCAAAAAACAATGGAAACCTTATTTCAAGGACTGGAGGGGGTAATTTGTTTTGTAGATGACATATTAATTACGGGAAGTACAAAAAATGAACATATGGAAAGATTAGATACAGTTTTGAAAATTTTATCTAATTCAAATTTTAAAGTTTCATTAGAAAAGTGTCAATTTTTTCAAAGTTCAATAAAATATTTAGGTTTCATAATTTCTAAAGAAGGGTTGCACCCATGTCTAGAAAAACTTAGAGCTATAAAAGATGCACCATGTCCACAAAATATTACACAGCTTAAATCCTTTCTGGGATTAGTTAACTACTACGGTAAATTTATAAAAAATTTATCCACCCTTTTATATCCATTATACAACTTATTAAAAAAATCAGTGAAATGGATTTGGGATAATTCTTGCAAGGAATCTTTTGAATTAATCAAAAATAAATTAACATCAAATGATGTTCTTGTGCATTTTCAGTCTGAGTTGCCAATTAAATTAATCGTAGATGCATCAAATGTGGGAATAGGGGCCATGATATGTCATGTTTTTGAAAAAAATATTGAGAAACCTATAGCTTTTGCTTCGCGTACCTTATCAAAGTCCGAACAAAAATATTCCCAAATTGAAAGAGAGGGTCTTGCAATAATTTTTGGCTTAAATAAATTTAATGAATATTTATATGGACATTTCTTTGTCCTAGTTACAGATCACTTACCTCTGGTAACTATTTTTAACCCAGCTAAAGGTATACCCCAATTTTCAGCCAACAGACTACGTAGATGGGCAGTAATATTGTCAAATTACAATTATAAAATTGAATATGTGAAATCGGAGCATAATAAAGCCGATTTTTTATCACGTTTACCTATTGAAAGTCAAAATGAGAGTCAAAATGAAGAAAAATTTGAGAAAGATTTTTTAAATTATTTTTCAAAAAATAACGATTTAAAAATTAAATTTGAGGATGTGCATTTAGCAACATTGAATGATATTTTTTTACAAAAAATTATAAAATGTGTAAAAACAGGTAGTTGGCCTTCTTTTGCCCAGAAACATGAACAATTTAAGATGTATTTTAAAAAAAAATATGAACTTTCAGTTGAAAATGAGTGCTTAGTGTGGAATAACAGAATAATTATTCCTGAGTTATTACAAAAGAGAGTTTTGCAGGAACTTCATCAAACACATTTAGGAATTGTCAAAATGAAGGGTATTGCTAGAAGTTATTTCTGGTGGCCAAAAATGGATAAACAAATAGAAAATGTGGTAAAAAATTGTGAAATTTGTGGCCTAATTAGTCCATCTCCTCGAAAAGCTAAGTTATCTTCATGGAAATGGCCTGAAAAAGCCTTCGACCGGGTACACATAGATTTTTGTGGGCCATTTTTAAATAAAATGTTTTTTATTTTTGTTGATGCTCATTCAAAATGGCTAGAGTGTTTTGTGATGCAATCTTTGACTAGTCAAGCTACCATAAAAATACTACGATCAATATTTTCACGATTTGGTTTACCAAAACAACTCGTTTCTGACAATGGCACATCTTTTTGCTCAGAAGAATTTTCAAAATTCCTAAATTCAAATAATATAGAACATATTTTTTCACCACCTTATCATCCCCAGTCTAATGGCCAAGCAGAGTCTAGTGTAAAAATTGTTAAAAATGCTTTAAAAAAATTAGTTTTTGAAAATAAATCTCATAGTGATCTTGATTTTATGCTTTGTCAGTTTCTTTTTGATTATAGAAATTCGATACACTCCTCCACTGGTGTTACACCTTCAGAACTCATTTTTAGACATAAAGTAAATACTAGATTTAGTTTATTATCAGCAAATAATAAAATTAAAATAAAAGTCGAAGAAAGTCAAACCAAACAAGCAGAATACTTTTCAGGTAATAGAATTTTAGATATTAAAATTGGAGATAATGTATTAGCTAGGGGATATAAAAATAATAAAGAATACTGGAATAAAGGAAAAATTGTACAATTAATAGGAAAAAAAAGTATATGAAATTTATATTCCAGAGTTAGATATGAAATGGAAACGACATCTTGACCAAATAAATTTTTTTAATAATAATTCTTTGCCTACAAGTGCAGTAAATATGTCTGCTGATGTGGATTTAAAAAGCCAAGATGTAGTTTCAGCGGTCTCTAGACCTAAAAGATTAATTAAACCACCAGAAAGATATGGAGCAATGTAAATTAATATAATAAAGTACCTATATAACTTGAGTGTAAATATTAATTGTAAATATTAATTGTAAATATTAGG